CTGTTTCTTAGCTTAAAAGTCACTGACGCCCTTGTAAACTTCTTTCCAGCCCCTCAATGTGAAAAGGTCCATGTACTGACCTTCACAGCGATGCCTTTACTGATGGAAAAGGTGTAAGTCAAGCCCTCAGTGTTACTCTGGACGGCCACGGGCTGCTTCACCTGAGGCAACTGAACGAGCGGCAGAGGCCTTTGGGGCCTCTCGAAGGAGGCTYGTCTCTGCTGCAGGAGCTCCTGGACTCGCAGCACTGCGGGAGGAGATGCCTTGAATGGGTGGGCAATGCACCCATTCATGCAGACCCGTCTGCTCGCTTCCCCTTGTCCCTCGTGAGCACAGCGGTTCTCTCCTCCTCATGTGGCCCACAGGGAAAGGGGGCCATTCGGAGGTGCTTCCCACCCTGGGAGTGACAGACTCAGCCCTACAGGGAGAAATAAGGCCCCTACCTGCTCTCACTTGCCCTAAGCAGAGGCATTCAGGAAAGGCTGAAGGATCCTGCAGACAATTCCAGGCAATTTGAGGAGCCAAAAGTATTGATTACATGACAGCTGTAACTGAAGATAGGCCCACCACCACCTTCACCACATGCATGCCACCTAGCAGGGGTTATAGGGCTCCTGCAGCAGAGCAGGGGCCTCCGTATGCCATTCCTACCAGGTGGTCTGTGGGCGCTCTYAGGTGACCTCTGGAGCCAGGCTTTCCGGAAAGCAGCCCAGTAGGGCAGGAGGCTGCTGAGGACCGAGTCCCACAGCTCATCAAAGAGCCCTGGAGGCGGCAAAGGCACATCCCTGAGCAGAGAGCGCTCCACTGCACGCACGGCCCTCTCCAGCTTCTTCGCACCTACGGCCACCTGAAGAATCAGCCAAAAGATGTGATCAGGCTGGGAGAGTCACTGCCACCMCAAGATGCCACGGGCATGAGGCTGGCCCTGAGCAACCCAGCTTTCTCCAGGCCAAACTGGCGTCCAGTGCTGCATTAGCAGCTCCTTGGATTTCCTAAAGGTGGATATGCAACAGCTCAAAAATCTACCCTGGACTAAGTCAACAAGCAGGGGAGTCTGCTTGCTGCTGTTCACAGCCTGCAGTGTCTCTGCAGAGACAGCCTGCAGAAGAGAGCGAAACCGTTCTCTTCCCCTGTCCTACTAACTGCTGCCCTCAGAGAGCAAAGCAAGACCTTTTCTGTACATCTCTTCTACCCTTAGCTTGACCATTAAAGGTATGTCCAGCAAGCCCCATGCCATATCACCCCCACTGCCCTTGCTCAAGGCACACCTGCAGCTTGGACTCCAGGCGGGACAGGAGGAAGCAGTCCCGGATCACCTGAACCTTCCTTCGCAGGAAGGCCCTGTTGGAACCACCATGGTGCGCATTCTTGAACTTCTGCACCTCTAACTGGAACCGCAGGCCGTCCTCCAGCATGGCAGGTCCATGCATCTGCAGGTGGTTGAGGAAATGGAGCATCTCCGGGGTTGGCCAGCCCTTGGCAGCAGCCTGAAGGGAGTGTCTGAGAGTGTCTTTGTCATCTGAGTTGGGCCGGGCCACAGCAGCTTCCCTCTTCTTGAGGTGTTTGAAGGCCACTTTGGAAGCCACTGTGTGCAGAAGGGGCTCAAGGCTGGACCAGCTGTCTCCCTGGATCTGGGCGGGCTGCACACCATGCCTGCTCAACCCCTTGCTCACCTCAGCCCAGAATTGCTCAAAAGCTGGAGCAATGTGTGAAAACAAGGCCGCTTGGATTTCTTCTAGGCTTGAGTTGCTCACCGCTCCCTGAGTGATCTCTGCTTTCAGCATCTTCTTCAGCTCTACAGGGAGCAGAAGACTGCCTGTCTCCATCCCTTGCTGCCTCCAAAGATCCAGGAGTGCCTGTGCGCAGCTGAGTCGCTTTCCCTCTTCCAAGGCTGTAAGGCAGGACTGCAGCATCTGCAGCAACCCCAGGGCTCTCTGCACACAAGAAAGCTGCATCTTTTCCACTGCCTTCCTATAAACCTTAAAAACTGCTTTATTAGCGAGCAGAGCTGCAGTCTGCTGCCATGGCACTGCATCTTTTCCTCCCCTGGTCAGGGCAGTGCTGGGGGGACTTTCCTGTTTGCAGCCCTTTTTTTTTCTCCTTCTTTGATGTTCCTGCTCTTCCTGGGGATGAAATTCAGTATTTCCTTTGCTCTTTCTCAGCCTGAAAGTATTTAAGTGGATCAGCAATGAGGTCACATCATAACTAAGACATGATCTTATTTGATCTCATGAGATCAGTAGCACTAATACTGCTGTGTAATTGAAGAAAAAAAAATGTATCTCAGCCTACCAAACAGTAGCTTTGTAAAGAYATCTGCTTTACTCATATGACCCCAAGTTGGTAATATGGGTTGCTGCACTTACAGAAATGCTGTTTTTTAAGACCTGGCCATGCCAGTCTGTTACTGATTCTAGGAGACAGCATTTCATGCTCTCTCCTGGCCAAATCCCAGCCCAGGGAGTTGCATCTCACCTTCCCCTTTTCCTGCTACAGAAGTAGAACACATTTATGTCCCATGCYACAGACACAGTAGCTGCCTCATTTCTTGCCTGAAACCCTCTGTTTTTCAGTGACAGGTGAATTGGCAACAAGACACAAGTTTTAAATACAGTTCTSTGGCAAAAGTAGTGGTCGGCCTTCTCTTTCATTCATCCAGAATCTAAAAAGCAAGCAGTACCCTGGCCACACTTTTACAAGTCCCAACAGTAAAGACTGTGCACTCGCAGAAGYGCCAGTGGAAAACAGGAACCGAATTAGGAGATGATGGTTTTTTTTGCTGTAAGCAGGTGCTGTCAAGTTGGCAGCAACTCTATGAGTCCAGATGGACCCTGGAGGTCCTTTAAGGTTATGTGCAATGCAGGGCTTGCCAGTCTGAATCCCAAACAGCTACTAACTAAAGGCTAAAGGGGAAAGTACGTACTTGTGCCTTTTCTCCTTCTTTGCTCTAGGAGCTTTGCTCCTGGTAACCTGGGCTTCAAAGTGAGAGATGGGCACACAGCATCTGCAAGAAAAGGTCCATGAGCAAGCGGAGCATGTGTGTCACCAAGAGCCTTCTCCCAAGCATGCCCGCCAATCAGAATTGCTTTCCTGGTGCAATATAAAGAGAGGAGCTGACTGAAAGCCAGCAAAATCATCCCTTCCCTCGGGGCGCTGTGGCCAGCTGACAGCACAGAGCCAGTGCCAGTTCTAAGGGAGTTCCTTGCCCTGCCAAAATAAGCCTTTCCCAGCTGCAAGCGCTGTACAGATGGGCCGAGAGCTCAGGCTCTGCAGGAGCTCTGCRAGCAACCCCTGGGCAAATCCCAGCTCTATCTGAATGCGCCCCTGCCACCCAGTGTGGGGCCTGCTGCCCTGGGGACCCGTGGTGCCGCACCCCCCATTCCTAAGCACTTACTCCAGGAAGGTGGTGATCTCATAGCAGCAGTAGCGGAGCCAAGGCGCTCGGAGGGTGGCAAACGCCCGCTGTGCCACAGGCTCGAAGAGCACAGGGCCCAGCTGGCCTCGCCGGGAGCTGAGCACCTCCTGGAGGTGCCGCACATAGGGCAGCAAGTCAGAGCCGAGCCCTGCCGGGAGGGGAAAGCAGCTTGGGCTCTGGCTCTGGCAGCTCTCTGCGGGCAGAAAGGTCAGGAGGGGCGCAGGGAAGCTATTCCTGTCCACAGGGACTAGCACTCTTCCAGAGCACGTCAGAAACTGCCTTCCCCACATGATTTTAAAAGACAGTCCCACGGACACTAACTAACATAAGCACACACAACCCAGTATACCCAGTAGCTAAAGATTTCCACTTGCCATATACCAACATGCCGTAATCCTCCCTCATTCCCCCTGCAGCCCTTGCAGGAAGAGCGAGGAGGGTTTGGTCAGTGCTGSATGCAGCCGCGGGGCCTCACCAGCACTGCACGGAGCGCCAGGCGCCAGGTACGTGAGGAGGATGTGCCAGGCCGCTCGGTGCCACTGCGTCTCGTCTGCCTGCTGCTGCCACGCCAGCCGCTGCTGCTCCAGCTCCTGCCACAGCAGCAGGCTCCGGGCTGCCTGAGCATCAGCACACCTGGTTGCAGGGAGAGGCAGCAAAGCGGTGAAGTGACTGCCCCGGCCTGGCTCCTCAGGAGCAGCTGGTAGAGGCAGAGCCTCCCTGATCATTCAAGGGCTTCACAGAGAGAAACGGCACAACTGAGGTTGCCCCAGGGAGCTCTGGCTGTCACAACCAGAGGAGCACAGCAGCAAAAGCCAAGTGCAGCCATCCCCTGGGCTGCTGAGGGGAGCTAGGAGGACTCAGTGGTGAAAGGCAGCCTCACCTGGTCAGGTAGTAAAGGAAGCCACCACCATCCCTCAGGTCACACTGCAGTGCATGGAGGATGCGAGGGGCCAGGAGTGTCTTGGGAATGTGCCACGGGAAGCCCGGCTGCCAGCCTGGCTCCGCAGAGCCTCTCCCGCTGTGTGCAGAGCGCAGGACCTGCGTCAAACACAGCACAGCTTGACTGTGATGGCATCTTGCCTTCGGTCAGAGATGCACCTGGGAAAGCAGGAGAGCTCTGCCGAAAGGCATGGCCAGCGACCAAGCTTACTGAGAGGGGAAATAACCAGTGACAAAACCCAGCAACCATTAACAGTTGTCCTCAGACCAGGCCAAGGTGCCACAAATGGCAGAGGGAGAGTAAAAGTCATATTTTCGACTCTTCTCTCTCATACTCTTGTGCTTCTCCACCTGCTCCCAAGCCCTTCCAGTCCCTGCAGATTCTTTGGTGTGGATCTGTTTGCATCTCCCCCCTATTATCTGACTGCAGATCCACGAATCATGAGCTGAACAGTAAGGCCCAGACTAGCAAAGCACTGAGGGAACCAGAGATTATATTGATACTGTTTTAACTGGATCCTTGCTCCGAATGTGGCTTCCGCCTTGCTGGGGAGAATTCTCTCACCACTGCACTCTGCAGAGCTGGTAGCATTGGATTTGTCCACAGTGGGATTAGCACACCTGCCCAGCAAGGATACCTACGCAGAGCCAGTCCATGCTTCTGTCCACACCACTCCCACACTGGTCTTCCACAGGGGGAAGAAGCTCAAAGATCTGCAGTGATGGCAGGAAGACGGTGGGCAGGGAAGTCTTGGGCTTGTCAATTCGCTGGGATGCAAGCCTAAAACAGAGGTAARCTAAACTAAGGAGAACATCTGACTTTTTCAAACTTCTTTTTTCTTTATCATCAAAGGGGAAAACTGGGCCAGAGGGAAAAGATGGGACTGCATGATTCATGCAGTGAGTCAGCGGCAGAGGGAGGAAGCCAAGGCATGTCCTTCTGGGGTAGGTGGCTCTCCCTCACTTGCTCTCCTGCTGCCTGTACCCCTCTTCTGTCACCCAGGAGAAAGCTGCTGAGCCCTGGGCCAAGGCAGGTCTGAGTCACTCCTTCCTTGCCCATGGCCTCTGGGATTGGTGAGGSCGTGAGTGGTGCTGGAGCAGTACAGAAACAAGGGGTAATGGGTGTAAGTTGAAACACAGGAAGTTCCATGTCCATGTGAGGAAGAACTTCTTCACTGTGAGGGTGACAGAGCCCTGGAACAGGCTGCCCAGGGTGGTTGTGGAGTCTCCTTCTCTGGAGATCTTCCAAACCTGCCTGGATGCCACCTTGTGCCCCGTGTTTCGGAGCAGGGGTGTTGAACTAGATGATCTCTAGAGGTCCGTTCCAACCTCAACCATTCTGTGATTCATTCTGTGAGAAACCATGCTGAGAAGATACGGGGCACCAACCTGAGGCGAGCAGCTCGCCAGCAGTGGATGAGAAACCTGGGAACCCAGTAGGAGCGCAGGCGCCTCAGGGCATCGTACTGGGTCCTGCTGAGGATGGCAAACGTGGCCGCTGCTCCGCACTGACCCTGGTCCAGCTGCTTGCACCGGGAAGAAGAACGGGGAGCTGTGTCACCCACGGGCTTCAGGAGAGCCCGTCATGACCTTGGCCACGACTCCAGGCCAGTCACAGCGCCAGCAGCCTGGACACTGTGCAGGCCCTGGGCACCACAGCAACACGAGCTAGGGCTGCTTTCAGGGAAGGCCGCCCCACATGAGGGGGACGCTTCAGGCCCTACTCCCTCAGTGCCTCGTGTGGCTGTGGGGCACCTTGCAGAGCTGCAGCCATCCATGAGGAGGGGCAGGAAAGCCAGCTGGGCATCCCTACTCACCGGGGAGATTGCAAACAGGTTCAGCACATATTTCTGCTGAATATGCCTGAGGGGAAAGAAAAAAACAGCCTCAGTTTGGGGGAGATGGCACAGGGGTGGCCAAGCACGCAGAGTGCAGCCTCAAGTGTCCATGGAGGAATGGCGTTGTCCTTCCAGACACCCACGCTTACCGCAGGAGGTCCGTGCGGAAAAGCCGAGCCTCCCCATCAGTGGCGTTGGCCTCTAGGCACTGGGTGCTTTCCTTGAAATCCTCACAGTCCAGCCAGAGGTGAAGGAGCCGAAGCCCCAAGGTGCCACGGAGAAACTTCTGGAAGGCGACCATGCCTGCCCTCTGCAGCACAGGGGACTGGTGAGGGGACTCCAGGCCTCCCCCAGGGGATCCCCAAGCAGTCTGGCTGGCCCTGAGGGGCTTAGGGGAGCAGCAAGGAGTTACTGCCACAGGGTGACCAGGGGCAGCCCCTCTATGCTGCCGTCACTGCGGCAGTTGGGCAGCTTGGCTGGGCTGCCCTGGCCCTTGGCCCAGGGAGCTCTGCTCCTTCCTATTTGCAGGTCCCTGAGCACAGGTGCCTTTGGGGAAGCCCTTGGCTTCAAGGGTGTCTTTGGGAATCTCTGTGACTCTGTGACTTACCCCTGTCACACRTAAGTGCCTCTACCACCCTTGCAATGCTACACCACCTCCACCTTCTCCATCTCTGTCACATCRGTCTGGCAGAGCCCTGGGGACTCCACTGAGGTTGTCTCTAGGGTTCAGGCTGACAGTGCCCTGCTGCCTCAGCACCACGTGCCTCACCGTGCCCAGAATGTCCTCCTTGAGGCGCTGCAGAGCAGAGGTGGGGAGGTCCCCGAGGAGCCGGGACTTCCCTTCCTCCTCAGAGTCACTCGTCTCGGCCATATCCAGCTGCAGCCCAGTCCTGGCTCCTGAGGAGAGCTCCCTGTCACATCTGCCACGGGAAGAAAGGACACGACTAGAGGCACTACAATAGAAGGAGATTCCTCATAATGCGTGGACATGGCCTGCTTGGAACCACCACATCTCCCAGGACTTCCCACATCCCTCCCTGGTTTGCATGTCAGCCTTGCCCTTTGCCACTGCTTCCCTCCCGCCAAGACACTCTGTGCAGGATCTCAGCTGCAGCTCTGTATCATTTCCTGCCTGACCTTCCTCCCTGCCACAGTGGGAAAACTGCCCTGGAGGCTTTCAGGGGAGTCTGTACAAAAACAGCAACCAGAAATAGAAGCATAACCTCCAAATTAGGGACATACACTACATCCCAAGTGTCAGCAACACAGTCTGCTGGGAGTTTAGGTGTGTGACACCCCTTGTCCATGGTGTCACACGCACCACATACTTACAGCATGCATCACATTGATGCCAGCACCCTTGTGCATCAATGCTTCTTCACGAAAGGCAGAATTTAAAAAAAAAAATAAAAAAAGAGTGAGAGGGCAAGTTGTATTCAGTCTTGTGTTGAGATCCCCAGATCTTCAAGTTGTGAACAGTCCAGCCTCCTGCATACTCCAATGTAATGTGTTTCCCATTACTTGATACAGAAGACCCCAGAGAGGAGCCACACAATGTCCAGCTGCATCACAATGGACAGATCCAAAGTAACAGCTTTTACTAAAGCCAAAGAAGGATTAAGACATGGCACAAGACCTAAAGGGCCAAGTCCAGAGCAGGACAGATGATTGAACTACATCATTCTTTCCCATAAATGCACAGCTCTTGAATACTGGACTCATGGATTAAGATGGAGAATCCCCTTTGTCATCCCCACTGAGCTGTCCAGATGTACTGTCCCCATTGTGTGATGCCTCATAGCCCACGACCRAGTAGCTAGGTCCAGACCACCAATCCCCAGACCTCAGGAGGGAGTTTGCAGCTGCTGCCAGCTCCCAGGACCCTGGCACACAGTAGTTTTACATGAGCACTCACGTAAACGGGCTTTTCCAGCACCAGATCTCCCATCCCCAGCATGCACTGATCCCTTTAGTCCTTACCTGCCTGGGTCAGAGGCAGTGCCCCCAGCATGAGGGGCAGCGCTGCTCAGACCTCTTGTGTTGCCAGCACAGATCCATCTGACCCAGGGTCCTCCTGTTGTCATGACACCAGGACATCAGGAATGAGCCCAAATCCCGCAGAATATATCCCTACTAGCAGCTCTGAGGGCTTAACCTCCCTTGTGATTTCCTCCTGGGTGCAGGAGGCTGCAGTCCCTGGAAGAACATCTTCCTGTTATTGAAACCAGAAGTAAAACCCCACAGAGCTATTCTCTCTTCTGCAACACTTCCTTTGCCCACAGCACCCGTTATTCTGCTGATGATGACAAAATTGTTTCCCCAGACACATAACACATCTACTTCTGCGGCAGAGCACAGCAGCTGTTTGACAGAGTTCACAGAAAGAAGTCCCCCTAGATGATGCCCTTCAACAGAGAGCAGCAGAGAGGCAAGATGCACCATTGGAGTGTGGCCATGATGCCACAGTAATATGCTGATTCTTGGCAAAGCAGCTATGCAATATCCCACAGTTACAGAGGAGGCCAAAACTCTGCTTTGCATATCTTGTAGGTGATGGTCACCTCATCTCCAAGCAGGACCATGCTGCTCTGCACACCATGTCCCAGAAAGTGCCACAGGCAGCAAACTCTGAGAGGGGTCTAGCACATGCCCAGAGGATGGCATGCACCTCTGCCCACCTCTCATGGCAATCTCACCACGGAGCCATCCACTGCTGCAGCTGGAGAAGAGGGTCTGGGACTGCAGTGTGCGTGGCCATGCTGCRGAAGAAGCCTGCCCCAGGTCTACGTCAGCAAGGACCTCCAAGGAGTCAGGAGGTCTGGGCAAGGAGTCAGGAATATCTGAAAGGCAGCCTGCAAGGAGAGATCACAGGGAAAGTTTGTCAGGAGAGGAAAGTGTGTCGAGGTGGAGAGGGCAATCTTTAGAAGCCAGGCAGGCCCAGAGAGGCCTGAATCCCACCAGCAGAAGCTGGCAGCCAACATCAGAGAAGGGGCAGTGAACACAAGCTGAGCTTCTCCAGCACTGTGCCTGCTGATACCATAGGGACCACTCCCAACATGTGTCTCAGAGACATTCCCAAGACTCCTGGCATTGCTGCAGGCCCATATTTGCCATGGTTCATCAAGCCAAGCAGAAGGAAATATTCTCAGACAGRCCAGGGAATTCCCTGGTCAGCAAAACCTGCAAGGAAAGAGCCTTGTCCTGCGAGCAGCCAGGCTGAGATGGGGGGACCATGGGGGTCTGCAGAGGCACTCACCTAGGYGGGCTGGGGTGCTCTGGATCCGCCGCAGAGGCCTCAGCAGCTCACGGCTGGGGACACCCACCGGCCACCCCGCTGCCGAGGGGCGGCTGGGGAGGCTGGAGGCAGCGGTGCCATCGGACTGCCGGCTGTATCCGCGAACACTGTGCTGGCTCCCCACGGCACCTTCATCCAGCGGGCGGATCAGCAGCTTGGCCAGCTTGTATTCCAGGTACAGGGCTGTCCTGGAGCCAGAGAGGCCAGCGGGGACAGTGCCATGAGCAGCTCCAAAACAGGGACTCAGCAGTGACACCACCACCAAGGGCATCACAGGCACAAAGGTGTCACAGCACGGCAAGTGAGCAAATGCAAACCCTGAGGCTTGGGTCACGATAGTGGGGGCTGTGGGGCAGGAACGAGGGGCAGGGGCAGAGCTGGGGGGCCTGGGGCTAGATGGTGAGGGCTGTGGGGCAGGAGCAAGGGGCATGGACAGAGCTGGGAGGGGACTAGGAGGAACAGAAGCACCTCTGAGGAGAGCAGCACCTGACCCACACCACCTCACCCCAAGGCACTCAATAATAAATATGTGATCTTAGCAAATTTTGTCACATGCCTCCCCTTACAGCCCAGCTTCCAAGACYGTCCCTCAGCTGTCCAAAAGGGACAGTTTTGTCGCTGCTGCCTGAAGCCCCCATCCGTTCCTCCTACCCCGCAGGCTGCCCCAGGTCCTGGCGCGTGACCCAGAAGGGCCGTTTGTCACCCACTGTGCCAGAAGCAGCAACGCGTGCGCRCACGTGCACACACCTGTGAAACAGCGGGGCACGCTCCCGTATGAGCCAGCCCAGGCTCCTTGCCCTCTCTTCGTCCGTCGCCCCRTAGCCAGGGGAGCAGGGGCTGGCGGGGGCTGCGCCGGGCGGTGCTTGGGGAGTGCGGCCCAGGTGCCGGAGCTGCCCGCGCAGCCGGTCGTACCGCAGCCGCAGCGGGAAGGCCTGCGCCGAGAGCGCCTCTCGTCAGCCCCGGCGGCGGCGGMCACTGGCAGCCGGGGGGTAGAGGGGCCCCGCTCGCTCCCTGCCCCGCGCCAGGTGCCAGCCCAGGGCAGATGGGTCCATCTGAGGACACAGGTGTAACCATGAGTGTCCCTGGCGGAGCGCTCTGCCCTCCCATGCCATGTCCCRCATGCCAGGGTAGCACCTGCAGGCTGGAGAGGTGGGAGGAACAGGAGCAGGAGCAGGAACTCACAGGTGATGCCAGAAAGGCATTGAAATACTCCAGGAAAAGATCATCGTAAGTCAGGAGCTCCTCCAGATCTGCAGTGAGAGACAGAGAGGCTGGAGGACCCAAGGGCAGC